ATCCGGTTGCATGAAATTTTTCCGGTTAGAAAGAATACAGGGTGTCCCAACAAACTCTGTCCACGTTTGATCGTTAAAAACTATTTTGTTAGAACATCTTTCACCGATGTATGAGGACCATTCTGATGAGCTGGCTTTAGCTCAGATTCAGAATATCGAGGGAATCGTCTTCCTCTCTTAATTACTGTAGGATTAGTTATGATTTTCGACAAGGATTTCCCTTTGAGGGGGGGGGGCATATTTTGCCTTAAAACGGAAGTTAAACAAGCCAAAAACCCGAAAACTCTTATAGGCTAATCTAAATCGCTGATTTCGGATATGAAGTTTTCACTCCACTTTGAAGCTTCTTTCTCTAATTATCCCAGTAAACCGTGAAAAACTGATTTTCCAGCATTTCGCAGAATGTTACCTACACCTCAAAAAAGCTGTATAACATTTTTAAAAAGTTGTGTAGTGATACCAACATCGTGAAAACTTAGTACGCAATTTTTTATTCTCTGAAAACTTTTTGTCAGACTGCTTAACTCACAAAGGTTCTATACGCTTGAAGTTACCGTAATCCTACAAAAACAAAGAGCGATTTGTGTCTTTCACTGTAAATCTAAGTTGAAGCAAACATTACTAAACGGCACCTTAAGATCGGCGAAAACATAAAGCAAGAAAGTTATGAACGATCAAATAGTGTGCACGTTTTTTGGGACACCCTGGAGATGATAAAAGGTGAGTGCGTAAGTTTTCGCTCACGTCATATATCACTTCCTAGTCGGATCGAGCGAATTCATTCAGACTAGGAAGCGAAAATGATTAGGACCCATTCGTTGGAGAAGATTTGATTAAACTTGTGGAGAAATTCAATATTTTCAGGACCGCTGCTGATCTCAGATGATCCACAAGAAGCTATATCGTGCCAAGCATTATATAAAAAACAGTAACTTCCGTACTTTTGACATAGCCCACATTCCTAAGCCTACCGCGAAATATTGATCTCTTCGCAATATTTACAATATCATCTCAGGCAAAGTAGACCTTTTTCGAGTATAAATATACTGAGGATCGATAAAGTGCAACAATTAGACTTTCCAAGGGATTGCTGCGAAGTTCCGAAAGTTCTGCGATTCTTGATCTGGATCAAGCTCCCTACAGAATACTCCAATGTCAGAAGTGCTGCACAGTGCCACGCGACCACATTATGTACCTCTACCCAAAAAATCACCTTGAGTGGGCCTAGCGCCAGACAACTTGGATTATGGATGAAACTGAGAAGTGCAGAAAAGATAGGCTTATCCAAGATCTTTGGAGACATCAGGTAACAAGCTTGTATAAGCAAGATAACACTTCTTCCAAAATTTCTTACTGGCGTCAATACACAGATTTGATAAGAGAACTGATCAGAGGGATTATCGAGAAAAGGAGAGAGCGATGCCAGGGAGGGCTAGAAACACATTGTTTTCGATCCTGCTCATGAAAATTTTTCAAGGAAAATGGTTTTCCAAGTTTCTTTTCAGAATCACTGCCAAATCTCATGGTATGTTCAAAACTCAAAAGCAGTAAAAAAGTGAAAAGATGAATACGAGAAGTATAAAGAGTTTAGAATATAGTGAGAATGAAAAAGGAGCAAAGCTAAAGAGGTAACGAGATTTTTGTTGGATCTTGCTTCTGACGCGTTCTGTAATGAAT